GCCGGCTGAGCGGACTGCGGCGCTGGCGGCGGCGGCTGCTGGTGGTGCTGGGTCTGCGCCAGGCCGATCTGCGGGGAGAAGGTGCCTCCAAAGACTGGGTTGACGTGGTGCGGGAAGTTCTGGAAGAGCATGGTCCCGTTGACGGGGGTGATCCCTTGGAAGAAGCTGTCCTCCACTGCGTTCGCGGTGCCTGTGGACCAGGTGCTGCCAAAGGACGGCGACAGCGACGCACCCGGTGCCGTGGGCTCTTGCGGCGGCGGCTGCTGAGGGGGCTGATGGAAACTCAAGCCCGGCAGGAGCGGCGATTCCATCTGCATCTTGTCCGGGCCGTTGGGGGCTGGCGGGGCCGCGGTGGAGCTAAGGGCTGGCACTGCGCTGCTGTCCTCCGGCTTAGGGGTCTCCGGCGAGAGGGGCGTGGACCCGGCTTCTGCTGCGCTGGGCTGGGGCTGGGGCTGGGGCGGCTGCTGCTGCTGTTCCTGCTCCTGCTGCTGCTGCTGCCGCTGCTGCTGGGGCTGGGGCTGGGTTTTGCTTTTGTCCATCAGTAAATCATCCTGCATGGTTTGCGCAGCTGAAACGGAAAACAGAGATGCGTTATTGACAACGTGATCATTAATGCCCCTCTTGGAAGCGGCCGGATGTTTCACTTGCGAAAATCCAGTGCCACCGCTACTAGCCAATTGCAATGCAAATCCATAATCCCCCATTTAGAACAGGTCGGGCTGGGGAGGGAGGTTCAAGCAAGGTCTCTGAAAATACTGTGAGAGCGTCTTCACCCTTTCTGATGTCTTGGCTCCTTTTCTGTATTAGTGAGAGATGTGCTTATAAGACCGAAAGACAGCAATTTCGCCACGTCTCTTTTCCCTTCACCGGAACTCAGAGCGTTCACCCTGCAATGAGAAACTGATTCTGGTTCCTGTTTTTTTCCCAAGCACCACCCTCCCCCAGTTATTTGCATACGTCAATAAATACTGCTGCGTCCTTCAGCAAGGTTAAAAAGACAACGCACACAACCCTTTCTTCCCCTTCCCCAGCTCGAGCACTTAAAAAAAAAGAAAAGGAAAAGAAGAGCCGTCTTGATTAGCAAACTGCCTTCTTGCTTCGATAATTGTTTCATCTAGCTGCGGCGAACCACGTGGGAGGAAATCCTTGGCATTTGTTAGAAGGGTTCAGCTGCACATTCTCTGGCCTCCCAGTAGCGGCAGCTACTCCATTTTGTTAGGAGACATTTAAAAAACAAACCATAACACCGTTTTCAAAAAGGTGAAAACCTACTGAAAGGTTTGGAACTGCTTGCTTCTTGTTACCCTAAAGATTTTTTTTTTTCTGTTTATTCTCCAATTTTCTTGTCTCCAGTTCTGCCGCACAAGAGGCTTTTTGGCTTCTCAGGGCTTCATGTCTCAACAGGAGCCTGAGAATTTCTCCGCAGAGTGGAGAAATGCTTCTGGTTGGATTTGAGGTCAGCGAGAGGGAGGGAGACGGGAAGAGAGTGAGAAAGAGGGAGGGAGGGAGGGAGGCTGTGCGATGGAGTGGGGCGGGGCTTTAAAATCTCTCTGAGATTTAAGTAGACAGTGAAGATAATTCTGGGGTTGCTAGATTTTCATTTTTGAATCCTCCTGCCACTGCCTTGGTCACAAGACTGGCAAATTTAGAATCCATTCTCTTATCACTAGTATTAGCAGCAAAAGACTGGCTTGACGACCCTGAATTATCATATGCTAGCAAAAGCGTTAAAAATAGAGGAGTACAAAGTCCCAAATTCTCATACATGGTAATTATAGTGCATTGCCACCACTGCTTCATTTATCCATATAAGGAGTGTATGCTGTTTTCCATTTCGCATAGAAGGGCTATATTCACCTCTGTCACACAGCCTCTTTTCTCATTCAAGGATGAAAATAGTCACTCAAAACCAGGAGATTTCCATACATGTAGTTATTGAGTTAGAACGTGTTGTTTTAAATACATGAGTATCATTACAGGCTGAGACCCTGAAAACAAATATTTTGAAATATTAAAAAAGCATATGACCAAAGATATAATTATTTGTAGGTGATGATTCAGTACCACTGCAACAAAGTTATTAATACATTCAATAGGTTACTTAAATAACTCATATACTGGAGAAGCATCTTTCTCAAGACAGTTGATACACACAAAAGATATACACAAAAGCTCTGCCTTTTGATAACTTCCTGACAATACCTATTGTAAAATGGACATACTGCTCAAAATTATTAAACAAAAGATGTCAGAGATTTAAAATAGTTTTATTTTATTAAAGACTATTCTTAAAATGCTTAATTGATATCTTTCATTTCAAAGTTTCACACAATAAATAGTGACTGAAGGAAATGCTTTACGGCCACCTTCTTTGTACTTCTCACACACCTGCCTCTCTCCTTCCCCTGGGGAAAACCCAAACCAATGCATTATGTATCACAAATTGCTAGATTCTACCAATAAAACCTACCTAAGATTGTTTTTATTTTCCTGAATTACCCTGGTCTAAAACAATGGCTTTGATTGCATTTGTTTGTAAAATAAAATGCAATGAGGTAAGCAAACCTTGGATTCAGACAGCACAAAGTTCTGTCACTGTTAAGGAAGATGGCCAGGGAAAAATACATTTTCATACTTGGTTTAAATTAAATGGTGCTGCAGTAAACCATTATAATTCAGGGATTTGAGTTGCTTCCAGTGAGCTAGAATTGTCTTTACAACAGCCATATCATCATGGCTGAAATATGCATTGGATTGTAATTTTAGTAACACCCACCTTTTCTGGTAGCTTGATTCAATGTTTCTTGTTAATGCTTTCGGTTTAAACTACATGCTTTTGGAAAAATTAAGGCTGTACTATAACAAGCCAAAAAGTACGCTGGACTCCAAATATTTTATAATTTCTATAATTAATATTAATATAGTTTTTGAATTTTTAAAATGTTATACCATGAACACTCATTTCTCAACATTCTTTAAGGATACAAATTTCATTTTCTGCATAAATTCAATCTGTCAAGGTCAAGACCCACCTTTACCAAATAAGGCTCTTTAAACAAAAGGTAAGCAGTGAATTCTGATAAAATTTATAAAGTTAGTATGCAATATTTCTCAATAACTGTCCCATAGTTTGTTTGATTTGGGAGTTTTTGCTTATTTACAGCAAAGTCTGAGATACAGACACCTTCCCCTCCCCCACAACACACACAATAGATCGTCTTTTACATGCATTAACTTAATTTCAAATAACAAATACATAGCAGTAGTTACCTTTGAGTGTCCAGTTTTTAAGGATAGATAAAATTTAAAAGTGTACAGTATTTATTTTCTTCTTTCAGGTTGATTATGTGACCGCTCTGGCAAAAGCACTTTGACAGCTGTAAGAAGAGAGGGCATGCGCACAGAGGGAACTGTGGGGGCTGAAGTCCTTCACAGGGTACTCTGCCTGACTTCACGTTCAGCGGGAAAAGGAGGAAACCTCGCAAATACAGATTCCAAGGGTAAGAGGTTGTGCCAGGATTACATGATATCTTCTTAGTCAATCTAAACCAGTTATTGAAATGAAAAAGGAGGAAAATAAACTGGTTTGTCAACTTGATTTAGGAAGCCAGATTAAAAGAGAAACTGAATCGTAGGAGGTAGAATAAATATACCCCAGCAGAGCTACTTTAAATGGTATGACAATGGTAGTGACTGGGTGGCCAGCATTAGAAACCCTACCCATGAGAAGGAAACTGGAGTGAGGAGGAATAAACAGGGGGAATGACTGGGAAATGACAGGCACTTAAAACTTGACCATACTTAAACACTTTTAATATATGATGAAATATACCTTAACACAAATGCGGTATTAACATTAGACCTTGGGTAAAAAAAGATTTTCAATGTAAATTTTTGAAATTTTATTTACTGAGATTTCTTTATATTCAAATTTTTCAATGGAGGCTCTATCACTTATTTCAAGCTTCTACCTGATAGGCTTTGAATCAACTCATCTCTTGAGTTTTATTATGCAGGTAATAATTACTCAAAATTCAATTCTTTAATGCTAACATGATACTTAGTGAAATATGAATAACTCTATATATTTAGTGTTTAACTGCATAGGACAGTGACTTCTTTATTCAAGACAAAAAGTAAATACAGTTTCTTTGTGTGTGTATGTATATGTGTGTGTGTGCATGTTGTGTATGTGTTTGTGTTACTAGGGATTGATTCCATGGCCTTGCATACACTAGGCAAGCAAACACGGTACCACTCAGCTACACCGTTTTTTAAAAAAAATGTGTGTGTGTGTGTGTGTGTGTGTGTGTGTGTGTGTAACATTTTAGCCTCGTGATTCCAAGGCTGGAATGTCTCAACATATTAACATCAAATGTTATTATCTATAGCTTTGAGAGTAATGGTTCCAGAGCTGGTTTGCTCACATAGGCAGAAGATAATATTTCTTGTGTGCCATTCACCCAAGGGGTTCAGAGTAAATGTCAGTTGATGACTATGCTGATTGAACTTGGAACAGAAAATGTTAAGTGTCATTTAAAACTATCCTAATTTTCTATTTCCTTTCTTTGCAAATTCGAACTAAAGAATTAGCAGAGACCACTAATTTGCAGCTAGAGTTACTACTATATGCAAGTCTTTGTTTCCAGTTATTTATGAGGAAAAAGAAAAAAACTAACAATGTAAGAATCATTTTGAATGAAACTTCCAAAAGCTTGCTGTAGAATAGCTAAATGTTTACTTATTCTTCCTGTGCTGTTAGTTTATATTCCACATTTTTTTCTTTTTCTCTGTCCTTTTAAAGAAAGTCTATGCCAGGTGTGGTGGCACATGTCTGTAATCCTAGCATTCTGGTGACTGAAGCAGGAAGATCAGTAGGTGAAGCAGGAAGATCCTTCAAATTCAAGGCCAGTCTGGGCTACAAATTGAATTCATAACCAGTCTGAATTACACAGTGAGATCTGGTCTCAAAAGGAAGAGCGGGGTGTGGTGGCCCACACCTAGCACTCAGGAGGCTGAGTCAGGAAGATCTCCGTGAGTTTGAGACCAGCCTGGGCTACATAGTAGTTCCAGGTCAGTCTCAACTACATAGTGAGACCCTGTCTCAAAAAAAAAAAAAAAAAAAAAAAAAAAAAAAAAAAGGAAAGCAAGACAGCAAGACAGCCAGGCAGCCAGCTTACTTCAGCCAAGGTGCTGTACTCACCATTCACATACCAGAGTCTACAAGAATCAATTCAAGATGAATCTTATTCCTAAGGACTAAAATGTATGTTAGATATTGGGAAATGGGAAGAAAATGTTCAACTGGGAACAAGGGAGGGGAAGCAGGAAAAGAAGGGAGGGAGGGACAAGAAAAAAGTAAAACTAGAAGAAAAAATGGAAACAAAGCTTTTGTATATAGGGGGAGGTAAGGGAGAATGGTAAAAAGAGAAGAGGCAGGATATATCATGTATAGGTGCAAATTTCCTGTGATGGGTGTTATCATGTGTATCTAAAATATACCAATAAATGTTTTGCTTTCCCCCAAAAGGTTAATCTTACTCCTGAAGACTCTGCTACCCCATCTACTACATGTTTAAGCACCCTTAAATAAAAAAAAAAAAAAAAAAAACCAAAACCCTCATAAAATTCTTAGGACTGTAAGAATTTTTTAATTATTTGAAATTGTATCAGTAAAGTTGAAATTGTTGTTATTCGGGTATACTTGAAATGTTTTAGTTAAATATCAATCCACCTGGCCCCACGTGCAGATCTACTAATTCACACAATGGAGAAAAAAACAAACTTGGGTCCTGACCCTTAATAAATGATAATTAATTCTGTCTCTACTTCATGGAATTTTATTGTTTGAAAGTGATGTAATCGCTGCTCATCCTTTCCTAAAATGAGCATTCAACTCTAAAAAGAAAACTACTCAAATAAGAGTTACAAGGTAATAAATACAAGGACCCTTGTAAATATTTCTCTATTGAAATCTTGTTTTTTATTTAACCAAAAAACCACTCTCTGAAATTTTGTTTTGGGGGTCACAGAGCTTAACCAGGGAGTCACCTTCATCCCTCTGGGCTTCTTTCTCTCTTCTCCCCTACTTTCTTTCTTTCAGTACCAGGGATTGAACTCAGGACCTTGCACTTGCAAGGCAGGTGTGGTGCCACCGAGCTAAATTCTCTCTCTCTCTTTTTTTTTTTTTTTTTTTTTTGAGATAGGGTCTTGCTATGTAGTTCAGGCTGGCCTTGAACTTACTATGTAGCCCAGGCTGGTCTCAAACCCAGGTAATCCTCCTACCTTACCTTCTGAGTGCTAGGATTACAGACATTGTGCCACCATGCCCATCCCTCCCCTACTTAAATTCCTAGCAATATATATATTTTTTAATTTATTTGTTTATTTTGTTTTGTTTTGCTATATTATCCAGGCTGGTCTAAAACTATGGGCTAAAGCAATCCTGCCTTAAATTCTCAAATAGCTGGAATTATAGTTGGCCACCATGGCCATCCCCATATATGCTTGATAAATAGATGGATAAATGGAAAAATAAATAAATGGATATTTTTTCTTTTCCCTTTTGACCTTTCCCCTACTCCTCCCACTTCCCCTACTCTTAGACCTTTTCTTACTATTACACAATCAAGTATATTTTTTTTTTTTTTGTAACAAGGATCAAACTCAGGTTCTTGTGCTTGCAAGGCAGGCACTGCAACCACTGAGCTAAATCCCCAGCTCAATTATATACTTTGATCCTTATTTATACTTTTAGTTTTTCACACCAGAGAAACTATTTGGTATTTACACATTTGTGACATTAATTTCACTTAAGAGTATGTCCTCAATGTGCATCCACTTAGCTATAAATGTCTCTAGTTTCTCATTCTTTATGGCTGAGTAGTACTCCATTTTATAAAATAACCACAACTTCTTTATCTAGTCTCCAGTTGATGGGCAATTGGGCTGTTTCCAAGTTTTAGCTATTACAAAGCCCAGGTATCTTTTGAGCTTTGGTCACTAAACTTATGAGAAATGTTTTAAATTAAAATATGAGAAAAGAGCGCTGGGCATGGTGGCGCATGCCTGTATTCCCTGCACTCAGGAGGTTGAGGCAGGAGGATCGCTGTGAGTTCGAGACCAGCCTAGGCTACATAGTGAGTTTCAGGTCAGTCTCAACTACATAGTGTGATCCTGTCTCAAAAAACAAAACAAACAAACAATATATATGAGAAAAGTAAAAACATGGAAACAATGTCTTTGTAATCAGAGAAGGGTGGAAGAGATAAAGGAAGGGCAGGGACAAGGGGAAAAAATAAGAACCAAGACCTGTGATGTAAAGGTACAAGATCCCAATGATGAATGTAACTGTACTGTATCCCTAAAATGTACCAATAAACTCAATAAAATAAATAAATGGATAAAGGACAATTTTATATTATCTAAAACAGTAAAGATTTGAGTATTAAATTATACCTCATTTAGAAGAGCAATTCCTCTTCCATTACCTTGCAAAAATGGTCATGGGTCATGGGCTAAAAGAGAAAAAGCAATTTGGCTCTTCTGACATCCAGTAGTATGCAGATCACCTGATTATAATCGCTGATATCTTATTTTTTTCTATTTTTACTATACCAAGGGTACTCTACCCATGAACTACATACGTCCCCAGCCCTTTTATAAATTCTGAGAGAGGTTATCACTAAACTGACCAAGCTGGCCTCTAACTTTCCATTTTCCTGTCTCAGCCTCTAAGCAGCTGGGATTACAGGCATGCACCATGACACCCAGCTGAAATAACATTCATTAAGCACTAATATAGCAGGCAATTTTGTTCCCTCCTAAGAGTCTGCAATCTAATAGACACACACCCTGCCCCTGTACAGAAATTGCTTCTCCAAGGTGTCAGCAGCCACTCTAAGTCCAGTGGATGTTTTTTCAGTCTATCTTGCTTGAACTTGCAACAACATTGATATAACTGATCACATTTTTCTGACTATACCTTTTCTCCTCTGTCTCTGACTCATCGTTCTCTCCTGTCTTTGTTTTCTTATATTTGAGGTGATGAAGGAACTTGTTTGTTTGTCTCTGTCTTTGTGTCTTCTTTGCTAACTGACTTTAATTCTAGAGGTCTAATCTCAAGCTTTCACCTCACCCTACATGAGTGGCTTTCCCAACTGTAAGGAAAGGACCGAGCTATCTTATTGATGACTAGAGAGTATTCCCAACACAACTCTGCCTAGAACATAATAAATCGGTATTTAGTAAATATCTCTTGGTTAAAATTACATTTATATACAAAGGACCAAATATGCCAAGGTAAACAACAACCAAAAAACCCTAGTAGACGTACATCATAAGATATCAAGACTTATGATAGAGCTATAGTAATTACACTATACACTAATAGTAATTATACTAGTAATTATTGGCACAGGGATACATTTTTAAAAAATGAAACAAGGGCTGCAGATTTAGCCCAGTGGCACTGCTGCCTGCCTCACAAGGGCAAGGTCCCGAGTTCGATACCCAGTACCAAAAAACAAACAAACACAATTATA